TTTTTTTTTAAAGGTGTTACCTAATTTCCAGGTAACTGATTCGCCTATAAATTTAATTGCTGATAAGAAATTGAACATCAAATGCAAGCTGAAATATTCCGCCTTTTTAGCAATGAGACTATCCATTTTCTGTCGGTGTTTTGACGAAACATCAAATAAAGTTGCCGTTTCTCAGGCTCGGCTCTTCCGGTCTAGTCGCACCATTAGATTTTACAACCAAATCTATTTTTCCAATTTATGTTCATTGGCAAACTGAAAATTAAGTCCCATCCCGTATCGAATGAAGCAGAAGACGCGTTGTTTCAGTGTGGGGACATTTACGATGTAAAGTGCGCCGCTATTTCTGGTCCAAGCATTCCAAATAGCTAATAAAACTTGATTATAAAGAACGTTTAGTAGGTACAGATAGTCGGAGACCCATTTGGACGATTTCCAGTTGTAATTACTCACTAAATACCTGCATTTCAGTTAATGCATCTCGTTTACCTTTTTATATAAGCATTTTAAACCGCACTATATCAATATTTGGCCACGCCGGTGAAAAATTGGATTAACTAACAAACGTGCCGCTTTTAGGTATGGAATAATTCGGCATTGTGATACCGCATTTGTTTAGGTTCACATAGAAAGCCCTGGAGTTTTGTTCTGGATAAATGGTTCGTTGCTGAATGGTCCGAGCTTTGAAAATTGAAAATTTATGAAACAAACGCCTCAGAGTCACTATTTTTGTCTATTGGTACACGCAAGCATTTAGTCCCTTCTAAACCCATTTGAAAAACCAACACTTTCCACTTTCTTGTGGCCTTTTCGTTGCTAAACTTATTGAATAGGAGGAAACCGATACAATCGTGCTTTAGCCAGGCAACAACTGATTTATTAAACCAATCAGCCGGAACAGACTCAGATCCAGCTTGGACGGAACTGAAAGTTAGCCAGTTAGCCGAAACCGATAAGTGTGAAAATTAATTGATATCCGCAATGGGATAAACTGATGGTGACCAACAAACGGAACCATGTTTACGCAAAGTCCCTAATTCGATTATGCCGCATCTGCTTGCGAGATTATTATAACGACTACAACAGTTACTAAAACTCCGTTTACAACTTCCTAAATCTATTTTACTAACGTGACGGGCTACAAACATGAGCCGAGTAAATGTACGCCCAACTTTATTGAAGTTGCGGCTACCACTTTGCCAGTTTGTTACTGTTTAGTCGGCTGTGTTTTTCCAAAACTTTCGGTCCCATAACTAATTACCACATGTGAGCAGCAATTTTCAAATTGCTTTTTTGCTTGCATTTTACAGTCGCGTAAAACTTTCCTATGTTTTTATAGAGGAGTAATGGGTTTGATCGTTAAAAATGCTCATTTTATGGTCGATTTTTTAAAAGAAACCTGCACAGAAGCTCATTACAAGTACTACCGCTTAAAAAATGATTAAGTATCCAGTTATTGCACCTTAAAGAAAACAGCGAATGGGTAAATGGGAAAAACACACAAAAGTCTTGTTATATGATGTTTGCGCCCAGTTTAAACACATACAAAGTCCCAACGAGTCCCATAACAATTCCTCGAATTAGGTTTGAGACGTATTGTTCCCATTCGGCATTAAATATAAATACAAGTGACGGTTTTTCTATTGGAAATTGGACGTTATTCCTGAAACTTAACAGTGTTCTGATAACCACTTTCTTTTATGAGCCCCGATCTAAACTGAGAGCCTTCCACCTCAGCTAGAAAATAGGTTTCTGAATTTATTTCACCGCAACATCACCCGAGTTATTACTTTTTCAGTTTTAAGTTTCTGGTAAGATTTTCGAATTTTTTTCCTCGATCTATTGGCCAATAAAGTGGGCCAAATATTGTAGGTCATTTTCTTAGGCCGGCATATTCTATGCACAATGAATCATGTGATCTCCAATATTTGGCCCATTTTATTGGCCAATAAATCGGGGAAAAGTGCTCAGTGTAAGTGCTCTTAAGGCTTGAATATTGCTGTTGTATTGCATCCTACTTCTCGCATAAAAACGTCTATTTCCTGCAAAGAATTTTCCGGAAGTTGTGAAAGCTGTTTGAATCATACTTTTTTCCGAGCGTGTCTTTGGATTTAGTCATGACTAATTAAGAAAAATTGGACCTTTTCGCAGCATAACCGAAAACTCGCGCGTACAGGTGTTAAAATAACTCGCTGTTCTACGTCACAATTGGACATTAAAAATAGTTTCATTTGGCACAAATATCTCTGCTATTCTAACCGCGAGGTTTAGTATCGGTATAACGCGCGCGTAAGCTAACAATCCGAAAATATTTTGCCGTCGAGAGTGACTTTTTGTTGTTTGCAAATCAAACGAGAAAAAAACGACGAGAAAACCCTGCTGGAACGGTCCACGAAACTGGAACGAATCGAAGAAGAATAGCTCATTCCATATCGTATGCAATCAGGTTTCATCTAGCATTTCAATGGGTTTCGCATGTGTTTGTACGACATTGCAAGTTGCACTTTGCTGAAAATCTCACCAAATCCATTGAGAACATTTTTTTTCAACGCTAAAAGCTTTAAGCGGACACGCGTATAAAACTGGTGAGTTTCACACTTAGTAAAAACTCATCAGCTTCAGGTAAAGGCCGCTAAAGCTTAATTTTTTGGAAAAGTTTTTCTTTCATTTGGGTACATAGTGTGAATGCTGTGATTTTTTTTGGGTGAAGATACTTGTTGTACGAACACTCGCTTGAAACCCATACTAATTAACCCAAATACTCCCAAATCATTTTTTGCAAACATGGATAACCGTTCGAATATATTTTTATTGATCAGGTGCAGGTCAACAAGCTTGCCAAAGACCCGACTTTGGAGAGTTTGATTTTATCAGCTGGAAAACCGCGTTTGAATTGAAACTTTTCCGGCCTGTCTTTGAAACCTTTCACTTCTCTTTTGATATTTTCACTCCACATTCAGTAGGCATTTAACTTATCACACTAATTATAGAGGAAGTCAATTTTATTGATTCCAGCTACCAAATAAAACGTTCTGGTAGTTTTTGCACCAAGATATTCAAGAATTTCTCACCTGCCCAAAGCGGACAAACCCGGTTACTGTATGTATCAAAACACGCGTCTTCAATAGGAACAAATTGACAGCGAGTTTCATTAAAATTAAAAAAATATATTTTTGAAGATGTTTGACCATCGATAGCAGAAGAGTCAGACATTTTTTCTCAGCAAAAGTTAAGTCAGATCGTCTTCTTTTGATCCAAAGAATGTGGCAGTACGTACTCTTTTAAACATGTGCTACGGGACACCTTGTATAAATTGGACACTGCTTTCAAAGAATACCTCTTGCAGGGTTGTTTTGCTTTAAATTGGCTCTTTTTTGCCACCTTGTATACTGACGTTTCGTATGGACGCATTTGTTTCCTCATCAATGCATATCAAAATGTGTATACCTGGTCTAAAGTTCCTAGACAAACCGTTCTTGAGATATCGACGGTTAAAGCAAGCAAGGGCGGATCCATCCACCCCCCATTCAATTCTGTATCCAACGCTGCCAAAACGAATTCTCTGGCTCGAATGGTTCTTGAGGAACTTCGAAAAAAGCAGCGTCATGTTCAAGTGGATTTTGCAACTCAAAAAAAACCACGCAAATCTAAAACTTCTTGA